GGCTTTTAACTAAGTGGACAGGGGAGGATGATTGCAAGTAAGAATATTCGGTGGTGAATATTAATTTAGTTATGATGTGCTTTTTTACAACAGATGTTTTTAAAAAATGAATCCTCATTCTTTGAGGTCATTTGTGTAGTGAATTAAAAAGAAAATGAAATTTATTGAAACAGCTATCCTATATAATAAAAGCCTAATATTCTAAGAGTCCGGTCGACCGTTCAACCAATCAAAGCATAACGTGCTAATGATATGCTAAGGCCGCTCAACCGCTCGCTATGACATGGACTGACCACCAGGGGGCAGACAGTCAACCAGTCGCTCTGACATGCACTAACTACCAGGGGGCAGACGCTCTGACCAGTAGGTTAGCTTGCTGTTGGGGTTCAGCCAATCGGGACTGAGCGAGACGGGCCGGACATGCCCTAGAGCAGTGGTCGGCAAACTGTGGCTCGCGAGCCACATGCGGCTCTTTGGCCACTTGAGTGTGGCCACAAAGTTTCAATTGCACTGTACGTGCGTGCCCGCACGTGGTATTTTGTGGAAGAGCCATACTCAAGGGGCTGCAGTTTGCCAACCACTGCCCTAGAGCCCTCCTGCGGTCCCTCCCATGTCCCTCCCTGGCCCTGATCGTGCACTGGTAGGGTCCCTCAGCCTGGCCTGTGCCCTCTCGCAATCCGGGACCCCTTGGGGGATGTTGGAGAGCCGGTTTTGGCCTGACAGTGGAACAACCGGTCACTATGACGCGCACTGACCACCAGGGGGCAGATGCTTAACGCAGGAGCTTCCCCCTGGTGGTCATTGCACTCCCACAGGGGAGCGCCACTCAGCCAGAAGCTGAGCTCCTAGCTGGCAAGCACAGCAGTGGTGGCAGGAGCCCCTCCCTCCTCCGCCCAAAGTAAATTCTTTTTCTTCTGTGTATAAAACTAAAATAATATCTCAGAAAACAGCCTTGAATTTGTATCTGTATTATTTATTGGTTTGCTTTTCACTGATCCAGTTTAATGCTTTAGACACATATGTTGTATTTTGTAGCATAGCAGTATAGTGTTTTTTTGAGGGTTTATAAGTCTGTTGTATTTCCCTCTCATTCTTATTGATCAAAATAGCTATTTACCACAAGGTATATCCTAAAACTTTTTGTATATGACTGTACAGCTCGATTCATTCTTCTTACAAGTAAAATATTTCCAGTAGCAGTTTAAATCCTTTATAAATCAGGAGGTAACTGCAATATATATATATAAATATATATATATTGATTTCAGAGAGGAAGATATATAGAAACATTAATGATGAGAAAGAATCATTGATTGGCTGCCTCCTGCATGCCCTCTACTGAGAATCAAGCCGATAACCTGGGCATGTGCCCTGACCAGGGATCAAACCATGACCTCCTGGTTCATAGGTCAACGCTCAACCACTGACCTATATTGGCCAGGCTGCATTATTTTATTTTAATTTTATTTTTTTACAGTCTTCTGGTTAAAATTGATCACTTAGACATTTTCTGCCATCCTGAATAGTAACCTTAGGAATGTTAGAGTGACTGAGTTTGTTCCTTTCTAAAGAAGCAGTTATACTCATGGAAAAGAAAATTAAGATTTTCTAAAACCAATCTAGTATTTTTTGTAAATTTCAAGTACAAAAACAATGTTAGATTTAAAATTCTTCAAAAGGAAAATGGCATGTGTATGTGGCGGGGGGTGGAGGGAGTTTGACACTAACAAGTGCAAATAAAGGCTTTGTATAAAGTTATCTATTTGGCAGATTGTTAATGTACACAACTTTGTTAAACCTTTGGCTATTTATCACAAATATTGATGAGCCCTGTTATACTAAAACTAGTGTTAGTGATGTTCTTTTTTTAAAATGCTCTAGTGACTCCTGGTACACAGTCCAGAATGAAACTGCTTTTTGCTCTAGATATAATAAAAATCTATTAAATTAGAACATTTGTGTTCTAGACATATTTGTACATATCTTTTTCATTTAATGGAACATACTGTGTAAATCAATCTTTTTCATATAGAGAATAACATATGGTTGTTCCCTTTGTGTTCATATTAATAATATGTTAAATACTCAAATTTTTTACAGATTTTTCTAAATGGTTTTAGGCAGTATTGCAAGGGTAAAGGTTGAATATTGGTATTACAAAAAGTTGTTCTTGCAAAATGTATTTATGTTTTCTTTCTAAATAAATGACATTTCAAGGGGTAAGACATTTAAAAATGATAATGGAGATATTAAGACACTGAAATATTTAAGTATAATTACCAGAGGTCCCAGGTTTTTAATATCTTTACTTTACAGACAAGTTTCCAAGAATTCTGAGTGTATGTGATTCTCTAAACTTATTTGGAACTCGATACTGGAGATAATCGTATACGGGTAGAGTTGTCCTGCTTTCCAAAGTCACAACACCTTCAGATATTAATTACTACAAAACCTGTGGTATGCTCATTGAAGTTTTAGAGCTGATCATTTATAAACAGCCTAAAATTCAGGGTTTTTAGAGTTTATATAACATCAAAAGTCAGAAATATTCTTTTTTCCTCTGTTAAAGTCAAGAAACATTTTTATAGTTCAGAGTAAACCTGTCCAGTTCCATTTTAAAAGTATCACAGCATCCGAATGTAACTTGAATACTTTGTAACTGATAAAACATTATTTTGCATACTTTCTCATCGCCTTGTGCCCTTCTCCCTCAATTTGTTTTACATACCTAGCATTAGCATTCTGTGAACAATTTTTTAAAGGATTGCTATAATGTATTCTATTTCTATCCTACAGTAATTTATTTACATTTTAAAGGGAATTTGAATACAGTGGCAATTTTGACAACCAGCAAGCTCATCAAAGTAAGATTCTATCTGTAATCTCATGATATACCAAATACCTGCTCTGTTCTATGTAACAGAGACAGGGATTGTGTGTGGTTTACCTAACAAATAGGGAAAGAGTAGCTGACATCTAGCTTTTGAGTGTCCTAAAATCTTTACTTCTAGTGTATCCATTGCTTTAAAATTCATTTAAATTCAAATTGCTCACCAGTGCAACTAGGAAAAAGAAGGTGCTGATTACAAAGTACATAATACCTCACTCTCCCTACTAGTTGTGAAGAACCTAGCTTCTATACATAAGCTAGACTGATCAGTGAAGAATTTAAGTGTGACGTTAGCAACATATTCACTTAAATGATGCAGAGGTGTTCTACATGAATGTTACCTACATTACATGCTGATAGAACAAATTTCCATTTATATGCTCTAAATGTCAGAGGTTAAATTACTGGGTTTTCTTTTATTTTTTACTTCAGAAGTATTTGTTGAGTTCCTATTATGTGCCAGGCTCTTGACTGAGATAAGTAATGAGAACCTTACGATTTTTCTATTCCAGGTTTTTGTTGAAGCTTTGAATTAGCCATTCTTTAATACTTACTTGACTTCCTGTATATAATTCTTTACTTAAGAGATTCTTCTTCTGAGGATAAGCAGAGAGAGACTGTGGGCTCTAGATTTTACTTTTAAAGAGGCAGATGACAGGAAGCATAAACCAGTGGCTTGAATGAGATTTAGGCTTCTTGTGGTTTCTAATTTTCTATGACATTTTCCTTAGCACTGGCCACTTGACTACTGTAAGGAATTGTGTGTTTACTGGTTTTGTAATAATAGTGTATGTTCTTTTGGAATCTGGACTTTGAACAACTCATTTTACAGAATAATTGAATAGCCAGTTCTTATTCTTTCTTACCTAGAATTTTTCCAGGGGATTTCACATAGTAGGTTAAGAGAAGAAAAGCCATTTGTGTAACACTTCTGTTACATTTGTTTCCTTCCCCCTTGGATCCCTAAATATAACTTTCTTACCTTCTCTTCCTGCTAATTGACCAGCAGATCCTGTAGTACTCTCATCCCTTTGTCTGTAGTTGTATTCAAAGACCAATAAAATATTATTTCCTGTCTATTCCTACCTCTAAAAATATCTTTTTCCTTTATTAAATTAGATTTTGTGGAATAACTGATTGAAGGAAAAGCAATAAAAATTTTTCAAGAACAATTATCACTAAAATTTTGATCAGCTTTAATATAAAAATCTTGTTTTTTTTCCTTTTAATTACATTTTTAAGTAGCTGTGGAAGAAAACATAAAATGAAAGCATGTAAGGAATAGTTAACATTAAACTTCTGGTCCATTTGCAAACTTACTTAAAAATGACAAGCTTTTTTTTTTTATACCCTTTCAATGTAGGGTCATCATACAATTTTGAGCACTATTTATTATAATAGAATTCAAAGTGAATTACTATAAAATTTTCATTGAAACTTATATTACATTGTTGATGTTCCCTTACTAAGTTTTTAAAGCTTGTAAGATCTTAATGAAGTAGTACAAACTTAAATAAAAAGTTATAATTTTCCTGGAAGGAAGATTTAACCAGATGTTAAAATGGATGTATGATCATCAGAGAAATACCATTATTGTAAAAATTGACCAACATAGTAACTTCAAGTTATTTAGTTACATTTTCTCATTTTGGTATAGTAAAGCATTATTTTAAAAAGCAGTACAGGAAGAATGTATGTAGATAATGTTACTGCTATTAGAGAAACAGCTGCAAATTAGTGCATGCTTTAGGGCAGCGGTTCTCAATCTGTGGGTCGCGACCCCTTTGGCGGTCGAACGACCCTTTCACAGGGGTCACGACCTAAGACCATCCTGCACACCAGATATTTACATTACGATTCATAACAGTAGCAACATTACAGTTATGAAGTAGCAACAAAAATAATTTTATGGTTGGGTCACAACATGAGGAACTGTATTTAAAGGGCCAGAAGGTTGAGAACCACTGCTTTAGGGAATACAAAGAAATGCAGACATTTCTAACTTGATTTAGACGGTCTGACCTCTAGAAATACAAGTATATCTGTATGTGTATATTTATGTATATTTGGGAATATATAAAAAATGTTTTTCTCTTCTTCCCTTTTTTAGTCTTAGATTGTAAGCAAAAGAAATCAAGGTCAAGATCTGGAAGCAAGAAGAAAATGCTAACATTACCTCATGGTGCTGACGAGGTTTACATTCTCAGATGCAGGTACATGCTTATATTGCCAAATCTGCTTAGTTCAGATTTTGGATTGAGGTATATTAACTCTTTTATTCGGGGTTTTTAATTTGTAGCAGAGGTATATTCTCCACAAGTAAATTATAAATGAACTTTTGGAGACAAGCTTAAAATCTTAACTCAGTCCATAAATGCTGTAGTACTTCAATAACTAACGGATCAACTTTTTTATATTAGCCAAGAAGCTCTGTGATATGGTGAATTATAAAAGTAGCTTTTTTGTTGTTTTATTTATTTGCTTTGGTTTGATTTGATTTGATTTGTTTTGATTTTTTAAAAATTGTCTTTAGTTTTGGGACACATTTAGTTTCTGCTTATTGGGAACATATACTTCTAAGTATAGCTATACAGTTATTCATATCTCCCTTCCATACTCACCGTTATGCAGTTTAAGGAATTCTGAATTGCATAAGGGTCTTTTTAAAAGAAGATACATTTTGGAAATATAGTTGTTTTAAATATAGGTGTTAAGACCTTTAATTTTATCCTAATAATGTTCCCATTTATATAAATATTATTGGAGTTATTATAGCTGTTCAATTCATGAATTGGCATCTTTGATATTGTATTAAGTCATTTTGACTTTATATGTATTCAGAAACGATTGTCAAGAACTCTCTCCAATATATGGTAAAGTTTATTTCTTACGTGTATTGATTTTTGGGGAATTGGTTTTAAATAAAGGGAATTGGTCAGGTTAAGACAACTGTCATTAACTTCTTCTGTAGGTTTTGTGGCCTAGTCTTTCGTGGACCATTGTCTGTTCAGGAAGACTGGATTAAGCACTTACAACGACACATTGTAAACGCTAACCTTCCCCGGACTGGAGCTGGCATGGTGGAAGTCACGTCACTGTTTAAAAAGCCTGCTTCCATTACAGAAACTTCATTTTCTCTACTAATGGCAGAAGCAGCTTCATAGAACAAGGAAACCTTTTAAATAGCAAATATGAATTGGGTGTAAATTTGAAATTTTTTGTCTTTTTTTTAAGCCACATTAAATTATCCATTTATAAATACTAAAGCAGGAAAAAGGGGAAAAGTGAATTATGGTGACATCAGAACAAATAGATTGCTTCAAACAGTAAGTGGTCTATATATTTTATATAGGACAGAAGATGTGTTTTCAACGTTTACTGGATTTTGTCAGTTAACTGTATTCATTCAGTAAAAGATCAGTACATGTAAGCAGTCATTAATAAACTGTTGCACATGGATATTTAAAGACAGATTTATTGGAAAGTTATGTTTTCTGCAGTGTTACCAGAATCAAGGTTCTGTTTATTCCCCACAAGACTTGCATTGAAAAATAAGATATTATATTTTGTTTGTATGTAGTGTTTTGTATAATACCTGGAACCGCTAACTAAATTTACTCAACTTAGGGCATTAAATATCATGTACTTCATAGATTGAGACTGTTCACTCATATAGGGCAGAGTACTATTCTATCTAAATGTGTAAGTGTTTTTTTAAAATCACATGGAATGGTTTTTTTTATACTAAAAAGTGGAGGGAGATTTGTTTAAACAAGTATTTCTAAAAGAAATATGTACATAGTCCTGGAAATTATTTGTGGTAAGGAAATATTCTTTACTCCAGTTGCATTTCTCAGACAATAAAGTGGTGCATCCATGCTACCTCCTACTTTGTCAACAAAGATGCTATTTACCCTTTACATTTTTTGTATCATAATAGATTTTAAAATCTAATGTTCTTTATTGCAAGGCATCCTTTTGTTAACAGATTTGTTTCTTTTTAATGTTTTACCTAAAATTTGACATGCTTACAGGACAGGTTTGCCTCTTTATTTAACATTGTAGAAATGTAATTAATAAATGATGCTCACTACACAATTTAGAATAGGCTTTCTCATTTATATTCTCTTCCAAAATTGATCAGTAGCAAAACTTAATATACCAATTGAAATATTTCTACATATGATGAGAATGTTTACAATTTAAATTTTAGAACTTGTTTTGGATGTGATTATATGTACGAAAATCGTGTAACACTATGCTATGCTAAGAACCGACATAACGGAATTACTGAAATAAATGTGCTGTGAGGAATGGAAAATATGGTGCAGATGTCTTGGTCATGAAATTGTGATTCTTCCTTTCAACTTTTCCAAAAACAAATTAGTTCTTTTAATCTGAAGTCAGATTTCCTTTACAAATGACAGTTTTTATATGCAAGCACCATTTCATTTTATTTCACGTAGTATGGCTAATACTATAGTTGAAACAAGGATATGCATTGATACTTTTCTTCGTATGTAAATAAAGTTTAAAACATTAAATAAGGAGTATTTTGGTAGAGTATATACATACCTCACTGCCAGTGAAATTGCTTTCCTATGGTATATCTCCTTACCAGAAAAATCTCTAAATAAAAAAAGACTTAAAATTATAATGTGTATAGTGTGAAGCATTTCTTATTCTAATCACTGGTGGGAATAGCCCACTTGAGGTTGTGTTTCATTTGATTTAAATTGTTTCTACTTAGCAGGTTACTTTATTAACATACCTTAATAATATGTGAAATTAGGAAGTTGGACTAACTGGATCATTCAAGGGTTTCTTGATCCTTGGGGTGTACTAGATAAGGGAAAAGTACTTGTAATTTATTTTCATTTTTCAAAAATGCCTAATAGAAACTGTATTTTTTCTTATAAAGATGAGACTAAAACATCAAATTGCTTTTGACTAAAAATATACTAAATCGGTGTATACTAGTTGTCTCTTATTGAGCAAGTTTCATTGATATATATATATGAATATATTTATTTATTTATTTAACTGGAAACATACTACATGGCAAGTAGAGTTCAGAAGTTTATAAAAAAGATTCCTGGCCTGGTTGGTTGCTTAGTGGTTAGAGCATCGGCCCTTAGACAGAAGGGTCTTAGGTTTGTTCACCAGTCAAGGGCAAGTACCTTGGTTGCTGGTTCGCTCCCCGACCCTGGTCCAGGCACATGCAGGAGGCAACCATACTTTCCTGTGAGGATTTAAAAAGAAGATTCCTGTGGCAAGACTAGCAGTTATGAGAATCCCTTTTAACTCTAATATTTATATGATTTTATCTTTTTTTAAAGTATGTTTTTATTGATTTGAGAGAGGCAAGGAGAGGGACAAACTTTGATCAGCTGCCTCCTGCACCCCCCCCTACTGGGGATTGAGCCCACAGCCGGAGTAAGTGCCCTGACCTGGAGTCAGTCCTCAACCTCTCAGTGTTGGGGATGAAGCCCAGGTAACAACTGATCCACACCAGCCGGGTTAAGGAAATATTTTATTTATGGCAAGATGTAGACATTGCCAGCATTCCCAGAAATCTTTATGTTCTCCACCCCAATTGAATTCTCTCCCTCCTGCCGGAGACCAGTTCCAGCATGACAGCAGGGCTGCATCTGGGAATGGCTGAAGGCATTTCCCCAAACCTGAATAGGATACATTAAATTGATTTCTTGGCTGCCAGACAGCTTAAGGGCTTCTTAATCTACATGCTATTGCCTCCTACTGGCCAAACACCCGAACAGCCGTAGGCTAATTCCCCCATTCTGACAATGGAATCTGTACTAAACCCTGACCCTTTGATGTGTATATCTCTGCCTCGCCTCTGAACAAGTTGTGTTAATAAAAAGCATGGGGTCCTGGGACGAGGAGACTTTTAACACCTTTCGTACCGCTCACGAGTGTTCTCGTTTTTCACGCCCATGGAAAAAGGAGCGAATCTAGAAACTTATGTAAATTTTGTTTGGTCCCTCTTCATAGAGGAAAATTTTTACGCAGTACCGTACGTTAAAAAAGTACTAGGAACTTTAATTGTTTAATTGTTTTTGTAAATAAAAATGTTATAATTATTGAAAAATGACACCTAAAGTGCATTATGATGATTTAAATAACGTGCAGTTTGCCCGAAAATGTGCGGTCCCTGGCGTATGTCTTAGAGATTTCTATGCGGTACGAAAGGTGTTAAGACCTTAGAGAACAGACCTTAGACCTTAGAACTTAGCTCCTTTAGCTAAGCTCCTCTGACCCTCAAATGCCTTTCAAAATTATGCTTCGTCTCTGGACTCCTATTTATTAATCTACGCACAGCCTTCTCCAGATTCCTGAACCCTTCTTGATGCTGGGACAAGAACCCCGGCACCTCCCATTACCATTATTCTAACTTCTATAATAATCATTTGTTTTCTATTCTTAACAGTTTGGCCATCTATGAATACATAGTTTAGTTTTGCCTGTTGTTGTATTGAATAGAAATGGAATTACACTACATGTATTCTTTTGTGACTTGCTCCTATGTGGATTGGCAGTTATTTTTCCCCCTGCATATCATTGAAAATATTATTCCACCATATTCTACTTCATTTTTGCAAGTTTAACTGTTGCTCAGTTTTAAATAAGCTGTTAATGTTTATTTGTAGTTTTCTAAAGTTTTATTTACAGTATATCTAAATGGGAATTTCTTTTTTTAATATATTTTATTGATTTTTTTTACAGAGAGGAAGGGAGAGGGATAGAGAGTTAGAAACATTGATGAGAAACATCAATCAGCTGCCTCCTGCACGCCCCCTACTGGGGATGTGCCCGCAACCAAGGTACATGCCTTTGACCAGAATCGAACCTGGGATCCTTCAGTCCACAGGCCGACGCTCTGTCCACTGAGCCAAACTGGTTAGGGCGGGAATTTCTTTTTATTACAGTCAGGGTTGGGATCTCTGCTGAGCTTCTAGAAATTTCCTGGCCATTATCTCTTTTATTTTTTCTGCCTCATTTTCTCTCGCTCGTTCGTTAGGGACTCCACTTAGATGTATATTAAATCCTTCTCACTGTGTCCTCTAGGTTTTTTACCTTCTCTTATCCATTCTTTATATCTTTGTCTCTTGGTGCTACATTTTAGATAGTTTCTTTTGATCTTTCAGTTTAATTATTTCTTAGCTACTGTTAAACACCATCAACTTAGGTTTTAATTTTGGTTATATTTTTCAGATCTAGAATTTCCATGGATTCTTTTTTAGATATGTTTCTTATTGTTTCTGGTAGTCTGGTTGGCTGGTGTTTCTTTAAATATAGCGTACATAATTATTTTTGTATTCTTGTGCTTCTGATAATTTCAGAATCTAAAATGATTTGGGGGCAGAGTTTATTGATAATTGCTTTTTCTGCTTTTTGTTCATGTTGTTTTGTTTTCTTATGTGCCTTATATTAACAATATGTGCCTTATATTAATATTTAGAAACTACTGTATAATTATTTTGAGGTCTAGAATAGTATCTTCTCCCAATAAGATTTTCATTTACTTCTGCCAGGTACAACCAGTTTAGAACACCTTAATCCAGGTTCAATGTTTGTGTTTTCCTGGCCTGTCAAGATGACCTGACGTCAGGCTATAAGAGGTAGATCATGGGAAGGCTCATACACCTCTGGTTCAGCTTTTACCCTGTGAATGTGATTTAGTTCTCCAAGCCCCATGAAGCCATCGAAAGTGCAACTGAGTTTCATAGCTTTCTTCTAGGTAGGAGGGTATGTCCTCAGGGCAAACATACTTAAAAGGTTTCATTACAGGGTAGTCACATTGGATTTCTTGTCTTCTCTTAAGAGGGTTTGACTCAGTAATTCTTTACTCTCTTTTTATTTCTTTTATGCTCATATGATGGGGTTTTTTTTTTTGTTTTAATTCAACTTTTTTAGTTGACCTCAGTGAGAGAGGATTTATAGAAATTACCTAACCTACCCATATCAGAATCCAAAGTCTATATATAAATTCTGAGGGGGGGTGCGGGGGTGTATGTTTCATTCACTTTCGTTTTCCTAGAAGAGTTCTGGTATATTGTATGCATCCAGTCAATATTCATTGAATGATTAAGTGAGTAAACTATTATTTTAAAGCAAATTTAAATACATTATGGGATGTGTTTTCCTTGTTTTTCTTCTTAAAAATAAAGTTCGACTATTCTTAAGCATTGTTCTTGTCCAGGAGTATTTTAGAATCACTTGTCAAATTCCATTTGAAAACTGAAGGGGATTTTGCTTGGAACTACATTGAATTTATAGAAAGTAATTTGTGGAAAATGGGAAAATGAGTCTTTCTTTTTTAGGAACATGGTGGTTTTCCATTTAGCATCATTTTTTGGTGTCTTACAGTTTTCTTTATAAAGAATTGAACATTTAAAATTTTATTTTTATATATTTTAATGTTTATTGCTATTGTGAATGAGTTTTCCCAAAAAAATTTCTAACTGAATATTGCTGATATAAAGGGAAACTCTTGATTCTCTGTATGGCAGTCTTATTTACATCCTCTATCATTACTGAACTCTTATTCTAATATTTGTGAAATTTCTAAGTAGCAAATCACATCATCTGCAAATTGTGACATTTACCTTTGCTTTCCAAATTCTTGTTTTCTTAACATTAATAAGGATTTCCAGTACAATGTAGAATATTAGTATTGATAGCTGGCATTTCTCTTTTGCTTCTGATTATAATGGGAATACTTTTATTTCATCATTTAATATAATTTAGTAGGAATTTTTATGTAGACATAAATTTTTGGATAAGAATTTTTAAGTGGCTTTTTAAAATAAATTTTTTACCCTTAAAAGTTTTACAAATACCTACTTGATTTTAATTAGCATCTACTTCAGTCAGTATCTGTATCTTTTCTCTCCAACAGCACAAGAATCTTAGCATGCTTTACTCCCTTCCCATTTCAGCAACCTTTTTTTTATCACCTGAAATTTGGCTTCCATATTACTTTAAAAATTTATTACTTGTATTAAATCTTGACCTTTCAGTACACATCGCTTTAATATTCTACGTGAATAGCACATAAAGCACTTTTGCTGCATGCTAAAGTACAGTGATTGCCTCAAAGAAAAACACTTGTATATGATAATTGTTTGAGTTCCAAGCTGGACTAATTGCTTTTTTCATGGAAATTTTTTTTAATTGAGGTAAATTGTTATAAAATTAACCTTTAAAAATAAACAATCAAGTGACATTTAGTGCTATGACACAACAGTCACCTCTACCTAATTCTAAAATACTTTTATTACCCCAACAGGAAACCTTGTACACATTTAGTAGCTGCTCCCTGTTCTCCCCTATTTCCGACTCCTGGGAACCACCAATCTGCATTTTGTCTCACTGGATTACCTGTTCTACTTTTGTAGTATTTTTAAATCAATACTTTTTGTTTTAACTCTTAAATTATTATTAATTTCTCTGCCCTTCATGGTTTTATATATGCAAGTTATCCTCTTAGAATTATGTATCTTTTGTTCTAATAAGGCCTCAAGGAACCTTTTAAATGTAGGGCTCATGGGTAATAAGCTCTTTGAGTCTTTATATGAGGATATATTTCTTTCTAATTTGAGAGGGGCTAGAATTCCCTTAGACCAGTGG